GAATCGATAGATTTATCACTACGAAACCTTAAAGAATTGGTGAAACTAATCCTATTGGTTAGATACAAGTAAATAAAGAATGAGCACAGCAATCTGATCAGCTGATTGGGTGCTTCATTGTTTCCGCTATCCATTTGGCATGGGACACTTCTGCCGTGATTGACAGCTCATTTGCTGATTGGCATCCRCGACCAATGATTGGAGCATATGGAATGTTAGTGATATTTTGTGGTCGCATTCATGGTGAATCTTCCTGCATTTCAATGGAGGGGCRGCAGATGTATAATAAAGGTATGTTCATAAATGTATGTAATATGATTGGATATTTGCGCACCAATGGTTGGATAGTGCGCACCAATACTCCGGTCTCAACACACTCCTGCGGGATGATGGCTGGGTGTCAAGATAAGCCCGTTTCCACGTGTTGGGCCAATAATTGTTGTGTACAGCAGTCACCACTGCCGTGAATAGGCTGGAGTGTTGGTGTTCGATCCACTGCTCTCTTTTGCCTGGGAGTACGCAGTTTGGTACCGGATGTAGTCTGCATCCGATATGCCCATGATGGTGTTTCGCATTCGTCGGAACTGTGCTCCCTGCAATGGTTTAGTGAAGAAATCAGCTATCATGTCTCCAGTTGGGCAGTACTCAATTGATATCTCCCCTTTCTTCACGCAGTCCGTTATTAGGAAATATCTAATGTTAATGTGTCGAGTTCTTTTGGTGCTAGAGGCCTTACCATTCCTTTCCAACCGTATCGCACTGGTGTTATCTTGGTGGAGTATATTCTTGGATGCCAGCCTCACCTGCTTTGGTAGGCATCCCTCCGCCATGTATCCTTGCCACTGCAGGAAATATAGGCACCAGAGGTTGTAAGGAAGTGCATCATCCACACCCACAAGTTCCGCTTCCGTTGAGCTCTTTGTATTGAGCTTTTGCTTGGTAGACATGCCCAACACAGCGCCTTGACCGAATGTTAACACGGCTCCGGTGTGGCTTTTCATATCTGTGTGTACAGCGAAGGATGCATCCACGTACCAGTTTGCTGTTCCTGTTTTGTCCCAACCCAGGACAAGGGGAATAAACATGGTTCCCTTCAAGTACGCCATGACTCGCCGTAACTTCTTCCAATCATCCGTGTCGGGTGCGGCCACTCTTGTGCACAGGAATGCAACGGCTGTTTGCAGATCTGGTCTCGCACGCTTGCTGGCGAACAGTAGTTGGGCAGTGAAGTGGTGATATAGTTCAGCATCCCTTGCCGACAGCTTTGTGGCGCTGTCGGAGGTTTGGAATAGATGGTTTGCTGCTGGTGTTGGTGTAACCCTGGGATCTTGCAGTCCTTCCGGTATCTCTGCAAGTATTCCTTCCAGATAGTCAAACATGTTGATCTTGACCTTTCCTTCTTCGCTGTAGTCAATGGTCATCCCGACGTAGTCGTGAACCTTGCCTCGTGTCACGGTCAGCGGTGCTTCTTCCCCAAACTCGTTGTTTAGGTCCTCTAGAACTCCTGTTACCACTTTGTCATCTTCATGAGAGATCTTCAGGTCATCCACATGCCACACGATGGTGCATTGCCTGTTGTTGATGATCTTGTTAGCGGTGCAACTGTCGTATGGATTCAACTCGAATCCCCAGTCCATGAGTTTACCACACAGCTTCTGGTAGAACAACAAAGCAGCCCTGAGGGTTCCGTATATGGCTTTTTCAGCCTTTGCATATAGCAGCTTCCTTCCTGCCTTGGTTGTAATGACGAACGGGGTGTAGAGTGAGGGGTCAATTCTGGTCAGGATGTCTACCATTGGCCCATCGAACCGGAGGTGAACGATTTCATCGTCCGGCATGGGGGTCTGGAGGAATGCACCGGGTATGTCTGCGGTGGCGACATCCCTCTTTTCGATGGCGTCTATTAGGCACGACAGCATAAGGGCGTGAAGGGAAACCGTGGGGGAATAAGAGTCCTCCTTGGAAATGAACTCACGCTGGGATCGTCCGTCAGCACACCCACGCCCCTTGATCTTTCCACAACGCTTACGTTTTAGGAACATTAGATACGGAAGGGCACGCTTTATTTCTTCTTCAGGCAAATCACGAGGGTGCACGGGGCTTACGACACCCCGGGTGTGCAGTTGTTTTAGTTCCTTCAAAACTGCTTCGACACCTAAAGTGCCGAACAGTTTTAGGCCCGCTTTGACACCGTATTGGCGCGTTACGAGTGACGCATCAATGTTATTGTAATTCGCGATTGCATTGGCAATAAACATGAATTGCTCATGTTTGGCTTGGACGGTTGTGACCGCTTGTCTGAAGCCGGCTGTGAAGAAACACTTGTGGTGCTTCATCATTGCTGAACGATGGTGAACCACGGGGGTGAAGCCATCGATCGAGCTAAACTTATTGTGTGATCGTGTCACACGTGGGCGAAGCCCGTACGTTGTCTTACCTTCGTCGTCGTCATCCTTGTTGTCATAAATATCTGTTTTAGGAGGTTCATCGTCTCCTGTTGCTGGCTCGTCGTCATCTTCATGGTCGTTAGGCCTGTTATCGCTATTATGAGTGATACGGTTACAGCTAGTATTGCTGTGCACGCTGGCGATGTCGCTCTGTTCTACGTTGATATGTGTAGGACTAGTACTGGACAAGTCATCGTGTGCGTTAGGACCAGTCCCGGTACGGTTGTGCGTGTCTTGTGGTACGGGGGCTGTAGAGTTGTCCCTGTCATTAGCGTCGTTGGGCGCGGGACTCATAGAGCGGGAACGGCCGTGGACGGGGCTCGTAGGATATGTACGAGGTTCGGCGTAGGTCGTAACACTAGCGGGGGGAGTACGGGGATCGTTAAGGAGTAGTGTTGCCGTAGCAGGAGCCTCATAGTTTGGATTGGGAGCAGCAAGCACCATGGTGGTGTCGTCGATGGCTGTTATAGGGGAGGAATCGTCCTCCACCACTCCTGAGAGATCGGAGAGCGACGAGGAGGCGAGGGAGGGAACGTAAGTCGCGTCGGAGGCGTCCCCGTCAGAGGCAACCGAGGCAACATCCAGGTCGAGTATGGTGACCTGGCCGGAGGAGTTGCCAAAGGTAAGACCGTGAGGGGAGTGTTGTTGACGTGCAATTTCCTCAACGCGAGATATCACAGTGTTCGTCATGTGTGCAGGCGTAGCGGATTTGCGCCGAATACGCCGTGCAGTTTGTAGATCAAATAGGTACATGGCTCCTTGCGAGTCGCCAGTAGGACGGAGATATATGGCATCACGGGCCCGGGCATCCATTGAGTTATCCCCGGACTCTTCATGGCCGAGCACATAGTCACCGAACTGGAAACGACAGTGACGCTGTGCATCAAGGCGTGTGCCGGTGATGAGTTGTCGTGGCGATATTGTCGGGGACACCCCACTGGCATTGCACCAGTTATTGAGCCAGTAATCCACGCCGTTGACCAGTTCAATAATCATGCGAGGAGGCATAGCCTTGAAAGGGACCACTGCAAACGTGCAACGCACACGTTCCTTGCTGGTCCTGTTGTCGCGTTCAATAAAAGGT